AAAAACAGACGGATAAAGTTTCGAAAGTTTGTTTTACAAATGAATGTTATATAGTATATTCGATTTAATTAAAACGATATTTTAAAATTTGACTATGTATTTTCTCTCTTTCGCTTTCTCTCTCTAGATATATATATATATATATATATAGTAATATATATATATAAATTATATTTTATTTTATAAAATTAATTTAGAAAGTTTAGCAAATCATTTTTTGGGTTAGGATAAGTTATATAACGGGGCAGAGCTACTAATATCGTGATAGCAAATCTGTCTGATAAAAAAAATCATTCATCAAGTTGTATCTATCAACACTAATATTTGATCAACATATATTCAAACTACTATCGCTAGAATTTAATTAATTTTATTCTACATATATCCATTTTATACAATCCATTTATATTCATATATTCTTATCGAGACATGATTGGTTTATAATCGGTTATATTTATTATTTGCTGAATATGTTTGTGTTAAAAATATAACGAAACATTCGAAACAATTTGCGAAAAAAACTTACAAGTAATAAATAAAAGAATTTATATAATTCTATGACTAATATTAAGTAACTGTCAAAGCAACAATATTTTAATCTTTTTTTCTTGAAGTACAAACATTAATAAAACTTTAGTATATCGGCAAATTAAAAAAAAATATGAGTATTGAATAGAGTTAACTAACCTATCGTGAGAAAGAATCAAATCGTTAGACAAAATTGTTTTAATAATTGCAAAGAGCTACACTTTCGTTTGTACTTGACAAAAGCTGTTATGAATCCTCATTGACTCTTGTAACTATTTTTGATTTTCTTTTGACATGAGTATGTTTGATATGCAAGATGCCTTAAAAAAATAAATAAAAAAGAGATTTCGATGAATAAAACTACATTACATTCAATTTATATCATTTAGGAATGGTATATATCAAACCGGTATATTAAGTAAAAACCAAAACGAATGGCAATTTTTGTTTAATTTTATTATTATGTAATTTATCATTAAAAGCCAGAAACAATCGCCTCAATGATATTCACTTAATTCTTTTCGTATGTTACACTTTATGAAGGATATTTCAATGTCCGAGAAAAGTGAACATCATATACTAAATTCAAAATCTGACCGAAGTTCTGATAGTACTGTGAGAAATAAGCGAGAAGTCGATGAAGTTGTACTTGCAAAATATTTTATCATTCCAGAATCTATCGGTAAGTTGCAATAAAATAAACATTAATAACAAAATCTATGATAAAAAAGTGTAAATATAATTTAAATTCAAGAGAGAGTGGCAATCAAATCTAAAAATATCTTCCAGTATTGAAAAGAATATAAATTCAATTCTAAAAAGAAACAGAAAAGCATAATATAAACATAACATTACATAAAAATTGTTATAATTTAAGATAAATCAATTTTATTAATATTTTACTCTGTTTTAAAGCAATATATATACTTCTGATTTTTAAGCTATAGAGAATTTTTCGAAAAGTACTTGTTATTTTAGTAAAAATTATTTATTCGTTTTTTGCATGAATTAACGATTACTTTTCTAAATCTTAAATGACGCAAAAAATTCTTATAATTATCTTTTTAAGTTCAATACTATGCTAATTTCCATATTTTGTAGTGTATTTATTTCTTCTCTTTCCGTTATTTTCACATTAAATTGTTTTTCTGATTTACTGAGAATAATCCACTTAATCTTATATTATAATACTGTGTTAATGTGTACGATCTTAAAATTTTTAGGAAGCTAAATCTTTAGAAAGATTGAGCAAGCCAATATCTTTCAGAGCATTTGTACAATTCGACAGTCAATTTACAGAGAAAAAGTTAAACGACTTTTGTGACATGAGGTAAGAAATCTAAATTCTCAGTTTGTATTCTTCTATTTCTCTTTCTTTTTTCTTAAATTCAACGACATAAATATATCAAAATGATAATTCTGTTATAATTTTGTTAAAATATAATAAATATTTAAATTTGATTTTTAATTTATTTTAATTTAAATTTAATTTATTTTTCTAACGACATCTCGAACATTGAAAAAGATCTTGAAAAGATCGAAACGTACGTATGTATTATTTTCTGTTCACTCGAATCAATTTTTTTCAGACATATTTTTTATATTTTTATATCTGACTGATTATTAATATATTATGTCTCTTACTTAGAGTCTTTATTATTATTTCGACTTTTTTACGCTCTAACATCTTGCGCCACGTTCTTTTAGCCTTCCTTTTTATTTCGTTTTGCTAAAATTTTATGTTTTTACAGATGGAACCAACCAGAATTTGCCGATGAAATAATACAAGTGTACCAAGTGCAGTGTTCTTCGAGGACTTTAAAGAAATCTGGACGATAAAAATATCACAGCTACAAAATTGGAGCACACGGTGCACAATCTATCATCTAACACACATATTATTTTCGAGTACGTGCGCATACTAAAATTGTTGCTGGTCCTTACACGGATTTAATCAATGTGTCGACTACACATGAAAATCCAATACCTAAATTATTAATGACATCCAGATATGGTATGCAAATATTGGACGTGGATTTAAGAATTACTATACTTAACGTCAGGGTACGTATACTGATAAAAAAACAGTTATATTTATTCATAAAATTATTTTTAACACTAAATATAAAATTAAAGTTATTATTATTATGCACATGTTTATTATTATCAACATTAAGCAGTAATAACTATAAAATTAGAAATTTCAACTATAACTTTTTACTATACAATTATAATTGGTTCCTTTTTTTCAGAAATGTACATATGTCGTTTATTCGATACAAGAACATAGAATTTTTTGGAGTGACGATCGTAATCTAATGACATGAAGATTAATGAAAATAATATCATAAAAATAACTAGCTTTGATTTTTATCTATATAATCTCTGCATTGACTGGGTAGCAAGAAATCTATATTTCATGTATTATAAGTCCTACCATCATATTGTAAAGTTCGACTTAACAATGTGGGAAAATGGCATAATTAAATTTGATAAATTGTCAAATTATCAGACGTTAATATTTCCTTTAAATGTGTCCCGTCTATGGGGTACGTTTACTACCTGAAAAATAATTTTCTATTAAAGACTTATGCATATTTGTAATTTTTCTATAATTTTACGTGATTTTACAATTAAAATCATAAGTAAAAAAAATAATAGGTTATAATATAATTATAAGAATTTCGAATTTTCACTACAAACAAATTTCTGTTTTCTGTTAAAATAATGTTTTATAATGAAAGTAAAAATGAGAGTAAAATTATTACATATTTTTTAGAATTTTATATTACGTACCATTCAATTGGGAGAATACAGAATATAATATAACAAAAATATCATCCCGATAAAAAAATTGAGCAAATTGTTTCGATAAATAAATCCTTGTGCCTATTTCATGATGAAGATACATCGTTTATCAAGTGATATTTGAAAACATAAATAATGAGGAGCCGTTAATTTACTGGTTATTTTCTAATCGCATATTTGTGACAGACACTAACGTTTCTATATGCAGTAAGATTTTACACAAAGAAAACATAAGTGATATCTCCCGTTTCTAACTATGACGATTGACAAAAGAAACATTTACATTTTAGCAAATGATTATAGAGATGAATTTTCTCTTTATGTTTTGAAAAAGAAATATGCAAGTCTCAAGAGCGTAAATGCAGACAAAATGTTGAAAAGATAATAAGCTCAATTGGAATAATAAATTTTATGAAATTCATCCTTTGATCATCTTTACAACCATATCCTCCAATGAGATGCTCACACCTGACGAGAAAGTTTATAATTTTGAGAATGTGAATACAACAACAAACAGCATCATTGTGAATCTTCCGGAGCCAGTTGTAAAGAATGGATGCAAAAAATATAATTTACCAACTACTATATATACTATCTCTGTAAGCCATTGTTTAGACAACAACCTCAATAAACCTGAAAAAATTCAATGTGCTGCGATATGTGACGTGCGAGCGATATTACGAGATTCAGAATTTAACACCATTTACAGAGTACAAGTTGAAGTTTACTTTGAGCAATTTTTACTTTGATCAATTATCGATAAATCCATTCGATTCGAATGTGATATCAGTAAAAACTAATTTAGGCAAGCTTAATGCACCAGAAAACATAAGTGTTTTAGTTTGACGCCTACTATAGCAATAGTTCATTGGATGCCACCCAAGAAATTGAATTGCGTGGGCGTGACCTACGAAGTACATTACAAGTCAGTTATATTAGTGAACGGCATGCAACAAAAGAGCAAACAATTTATTAATATGCCGAAACGTATGGTAGATGGCAGATTTTTCGCAAAGATTAACTTGTTGCTACCAGTACAAGATTACTTGATATACGTGCGTGTGTATCCAAGTAATTTCAGTGATTTGTACAACGAGAGTTTAAGCAAGATCGTTCACATATCCTCAGAACCAAACAATATTACTTTGAGCGGGGTCGACATAAATAGCATGAACATTTCATGGATCTCCAACATTAATCTGACGATGTTTTGTACACTAGAGTACAAAGAGATTGCAGCAGAAAAGTGGCAAACAATGAATTATTTTAAAATGAATTATAACAATGAAGTAATGTACCCTGTCAAAAATTTACAATCGGGAACTTTATACAAGTTTCGCTTGATATTGATATATCTCGAATATGAGGAAACTTTTATATGGCCGACTGATGAAAGATTTATTTTTTCAACACGTGGTAGCAAACGTGGTAAGCAAATGAAAATACCTATACAGCACGATAAGGTTGCGGATATATTGAAGTATAATTTCATTGAAACATTGCAATATTGCAAATCGAATGCGAAACTTTGCAGAGTTATTGTTATAAGATTGTGATAAATTTAAAGTGTTCGCTTTTGCAATGAAATATTGTAGCAATATTACAGTGTAATATATTGGAAAGAATGCAATGTTATTGCAGCTATTTAATAACATTACGTATAAAATATTTTTTGTTTTTGATGGATGAATATCTTGGAATCATTTAATTAAATTAAAAAGCTTGATATAAATACTAGTTTACGATATTTAATATATTGCAAAATTATATTTAAACATAACATCATATAAAATAAAATGTTATATTTTTATACAAAATTGCTCTAAACTATTACTTACAAATCATTCTTTTTATTTTAAATGTTCTATATACTCTTATAATGGGTATTTTATACACATTTATACATTAGTTATAGGATTAATTATACATTCTTAATAACATTTGTATTTAAAAATTTAAAAATTTTAAAAATCCGTTTAATTACATATATTTGCATGTGAAAAGTACAGAAAAACGCATAGAAAAATATAATGATACATATAATAATATATATTCTTAATATAATAAAAAGATATATTATCTTTGAAGATTAATATCGTATTCGTACATGAAGTGAAAATATATCATAAAATATATTGTAACATTGATATAAAATGTTATCTATATTTTAATAAAAAATTAGCAAGGCTTATCTGTAGCTTAGAATTATATTTACTCGATATTATTTGTGTCAATAATTCATTTGACTTCTGCAAAAAAGTAAAATTCATCACATGTATACAGACATAAAAAAAATGTATTATTACATTATTTTTATAGATAAATTAAAGAGTGTTATAGTTTTAAAGTGTTTTCAAAATATGAATATCATATTGCTGATATCTAATTCACATTTTGTGAAATTATATTTCTACAATGTTTCCGTAATGTTGCCTTGCAATTTGTAATATTCCAACATTGTTGCAAAGTAGTTGTAATATTTTGTGCTGCATAGATATTATAATATTATGTGCTGATATTTTTTGGATATGAATAGGAATCTGAAATTTAAAAAAATTAAATCTTATAATAAAGTTATAAGTAAAACTAAATTTGTAAAAGGATACACACACGAAGATATTAAAATTATACTTTTGCTTAATCTAGATATTACGAGCACTCCTGGAATAATACGGAATAAATATTACTTATTATTGATGTTGGTTATAGTTCCTATAATCTCCATTTTCTACATTTATCGTTGTAAGTATATTTGATATAAATGTCAACTTAAATTGTAGATTATGCATATATATTTGATATAATATCTAGAGATTTACTGAAAATAGTAATTTACTTATATAAAACTAAACGAATAAATTTACTAAAATACAGTAAATTTTATAATATATATTATTACATAATTAAATCGTAATTTTATAATAGTGTATCGTCAACGCAGAGGTAATAATGAACAATTTTTGTCTTCTACAATGACCGATGTAGAATTGGCGATTCTACCTGAAGTACCTTGCCGAAACACTCAATCCAATATGATTTACAGTCCTATGTTACATTATAACCCGGATGAATATGCGATAACTAAAATCGCACGAAATCAAATTACACTTACGAAACATCTTGGTAGCGGCGCATTCGGAATGGTAAAAATTAATTTTTTCAAGCAATATTTTAAATTATTTTTTGGATTAACAAAACAGATACGTATTTTTAATAAAGATATAAATTACATGAATTTTTTAAATAGATTATAAGTGATATAAAATTTACATGAGAAAACAAGCATGCACTTTATTATATACTTTTCATTGAATTATTTAATATAAAGTAAAATATAAAGTAAAATACTACTTCATATTAAATTATACATTTTTCAATAAAGTACGCATGTAAATTTGTGTGAAATATTTTGCAGGTGTATCAAGGAAAGGTGAAGGATTTAGAAAAATCGGGCACAGAGATGTCCGTTGCAATAAAAACGCTTCAAAAAGATGCTACTCCCCGTGAGAAAGAGAAATTCTTAAAGGAAGCCAAGCTTATGAATCGTTTTCAACACAAACATATATTAAGATTGTTGGCCGTTTGTTTAGATGGAGATTCTCCGTTGCTAGTGTCGGAATTGATGGAAATTGGAGATCTGTTAAAATATTTGAGAGAATGTCGAAATTTGCAAGCGTCAGATTCGTCTGCTCTGCGTTTGCAGGATTTGCTCGCCATGTGCGAAGATGTTGCGCGAGGTTGTTGCTACTTGGAAGAGTTGCGTTTCGTACATAGAGATCTAGCGTGTCGCAATTGTTTAGTATCTTCAAGAAATCGCGAGGATCGTGTCATCAAAATTGGAGATTTTGGACTAGCTAGAGATATCTACAAGGATGATTATTATCGATTGGTAAGTACAATTATGAAAATATTAAAGATTAAAAATTGAATTCTTTTTAAAATACTTTCTATTTTTTTATCATAATAGTATACTGCATTGTTTTTTTAAGTAATATAGAATATAAGTAGTCTTTATTTATATATAGCAAGAGATAAATTAACATTTTTGATTTTGCACACATTCTAGAAATGAACAACTTAAATCAGAGAATTAAATTTTTGTTTAAATCATGTTTTAGAAAGGAGAAGGTTTGCTTCCTATTCGATGGATGGCACCCGAATCTTTGATAATGGGAATATTTACTATTCAAAGCGATGTTTGGTCATTTGGGGTATTAATGTGGGAAATTACATCGTTGGGTGAGCAACCTTATAGTGCCAAGACTAATGAAGAAGTGATAAATTATGTTCGTGCGGGAGGCAGGTTGCCGATGACTCTTAACTGTCCGTCACCATTGTACCAGTTGATGCTAAGTTGCTGGAGTGCAGCGTATGCTAGACCAAATTTCGAATTTTGTCTGAAAAATATTATAGCATTAAAAAAGAACGTAGAGGATGCCTTACTGAGTCTGGTCGATACTATTTAGCCGATATATTTAAATTAATGTTTATTTTATTTTCCAAACGACTCAATAAATCTTAATGTAGAAAAAATATTTCTAGGATATTTCTAAATTGATTCTGATCGGATTATTTTTAGGTTTAATCTTAATGTTACATATATCAATGAAAATTAAAGAAATTTTGTAATCTTACTTTTCATACAATTTTGATTATTATTAAAAAATATCCGTTTTCATGATTGTACAAAATCAAATAATATAATGATATATCTAATTTGTTTTTTTGAATAATCAAAGCAAAATTTAATGATTGTGATTATATGTATATGTATAAACAAAATTTTTTTGAACATGGGAATATAATTAATTTTCGACATTATATATGGCCGATAATTACAAACTGATGTAAAATTATGAGTGAAAGAGAAAACGCGAATAATGTCCTCTATAATTAGTTGTGAATATATAAATATAATAATATAACAATAAATAGAAAGGTCATAGGCGATAGAGAGCATGTAAATAATCAGATAATCAAGATTAAAGATAGAAAAAACATAATTTAATAAAGCAAATTAAGTACGATATAAATAGCTGAGAAATATAATATGATTAAATATACAAAAATTAAAGATAAGAATATACATAAGGTACGAACGTTTCTGGCTCTCGCTTTGAGCCTTCTTCAGCGCAATAATAATAACCAACAGAAATTAATATAAAAACTAATAAATCATGAATATAATAAGGTATTGAATAACATATAAATAATGATGAAAACGCAATCGGCGCAACGTTAATAGACGCTTATCGAAGTAATGGATCTTCATGGTAAAAAATAGAAACCTTATTGTACAATTGTAATTGATGCAGAACAGAAACTTGACAACAGTACCAAATGCAGCCTGAAATTGGCATGATCCGATATTTTAAACAATTCATATAATATACTGTGTGACAATATAAATACTTACAAAGAGACTGTTCCACGATAATACGAAAGATGGAGAGAAACAATAAGGTTCAACATGAGAATCAGTTACTGTTAGAAATGCCGGTGAGAAGGCTGATATATATATCCGAACATGACATTCAAATTTTCAGTAGCTTGTTTATAATATCATGATATAAAGACGGTAAATTTTCTGTGTCTGTCTGTAAATTTAAACCATTCTTTTGTCTCTTGATGTAAAGCATTTCAGAAATTAATCTTCTATTATAAAAAGGAGCTTCATCCAGAATTTTAACGTCATTCCAACGTTCGTACCTTATGTATATTCTTATCTTTAATTTTTGTATGTTTAATCATATTATATTTCTCAGCTATTTATATCGTACTTAATTTGCTTTATTAAATTATGTTTTTTCTATTTTAATCTTGATTATCTGATTATTTACATGCTCTCTATCCCCTATGACCTTTCTATTTATTGTTAAAATTTAAGAGAGCTTTTCTCAATATTTGTATAATAATATAATTATTTTTGAGTTTATAACAGTTATCATGAATGAACTTTTTGCATCATTCGTGATAAGTATATGCATATATTACATCTTTTTATTTAATTACTCACTATATATTCAAATTATATTGATGATTACAAAAGCATGCAGTCGTACAGGGTATTTTCGCAACATGCACATCTTTAAGTCTGGTTGTTTGACTGCCCACCGTCAGGCGCATGCTTTATTGGGCTCGCAGAATAAGATTAGAATGCGAATTCGGCGAAGAGTAAAAAAAAAGGGAAATCAACTTTTATTATTCTGTTATAGCGAACAGTTGCGAAATTTAATAATATAGATCAAATAAATTTAATAATATAGATTATAATAATATATAGAAATTTAATAATATAGATACAATACATTTAATAATATATAGAGAATATAATATACAGGGAATGTGTGTTCTCCACATAGTTTATCCGTTATTTAATATAGGTTATAACAAATTATTAATTTAGATTATTACACTTTATTTAATTATATTTAATAGTATACATTAACATATACTAATTATGTAAATAAAATTTAACAAACAAATTTAAACAAAAAAATTATAATAAAAAATGAAAAATAATAATGAAATTATAAATGAAAAATATTTTTGGTCCTTAAATATTATATAATAAATTATAATAATTGTTCAATATAACCACCATTTTCTTCTAAACATAGAGCAATTCTGCGCATGAAATTTTCTCTCACTCGTCTTAGCATGAGAGGAGTGATCTATGCACACGCATTACGAATTCTATTTTTAAGAATTTCTGCATTTTCCGGCAGGGTTTAGTAAACTTTATTTTTTAAGAAGACCCACATGAAAAAGTCCATGGGTGTGAGATCCGGAGAGCGTGGTGGCTATTTCTAAAGACCATGAAATCCGATCCATCTGCCAGGAAATTTTTGATTTAAGATGGTTCTTGCCAAAATAGAAGTGTGAGCGGGATGTCCATCTTGTTAAAATATTATTTCTAGTTTATTAACGAGTGGCACATCTTCAAGGTGTTCATCAAGCGGATGGAGTAAAAAATTTGCATAATAATCTGCATTGCCTTGAATAAATTCTGGAAAAAAATGTGATCCCCTACTATTCCTAGCCACACATTTATAGCCCATCTGCCTTGAATGTTTACTTCCTTCATACAATGTGGATTATGCTGCGCATAATGATGCTCATTATGTCCGTCACTTTCAAAAATTGCCTCGTCATTCCAGAGAATATTTTTCAAAAATATATCGTTTCCGACATCATTGAAATTCACCTGCGTAAATCGAGTATAGAGTACCCTTTTAAAAAAAAGGTAAAAAAAGGTGCTAAGTCCGCGTAAAAAACAGTATATGTATTTGCAAAATAGTGTATTATTAACTGTAAAAAACTACTGTATTGTATATCCTACAAAAATAATGATATTAAAAAAGTTGCGCTAAGTGAAAATAAAAACTTATAAAAATACCTTAACCAAAAAAAGTTATACAAAATAGCTGATTTAATTTTCTACATTATATCCTAGAAAAATAATGATATCCAAAAATTACGCTAATTGAAAATAAAAACTTAAAATAATTTAACTAAAAAAAATTGTACAAAATAATTGTTTTAATTTCATACAAATAATATTAAAAAGTTGCGCCAACTGAATAAAAATTTTTACTATAAAATAGACATATTTCTTTTTTATTTTCAATATTAAAAGAAAAATGATATTAAATGAATTGTAATATATCTATTATAAAAAATCGAATTGAAAATATGAACAATCATAAACATTGCAATAATCATATGCATATACATCCTGAAAAGTTTAATTAAAAAAAAAAAAGAAAATGATAATACAAAATACAAAATTAAAAATTATTAAAAAAATTAAAAATTAAAAATTAATAAATAAAAAATAAAAATTTATATAAAAATTAAAAATTAATACATATAAAAAAATTTTAGTTAAAAAACTTAGCGCTGCTAATTTCATTAGCACATTGTTCAGCGTAGCAACGCTAAGTATTTTAACTAAAATTTTTTTATATGTATTAATTTTTAATTTTTATATAAATTTTTATTTTTTATTTATTAATTTTTAATTTTTAATTTTTTTAATAATTTTTAATTTTGTATTTTGTATTATCATTTTCTTTTTTTTTTTTTAATTAAACTTTTCAGGATGTATATGCATATGATTATTGCAATGTATATGATTGTTCATATTTTCAATTCGATTTTTTATAATAGATATATTACAATTCATTTAATATCATTTTTCTTTTAATATTGAAAATAAAAAAGAAATATGTCTATTTTATAGTAAAAATATTTATTCAGTTGGCGCAACTTTTTAATATTATTTGTATGAAATTAAAACAATTATTTTGTACAATTTTTTTTAGTTAAATTATTTTAAGTTTTTATTTTCAATTAGCGTAATTTTTGGATATCATTATTTTTCTAGGATATAATGTAGAAAATTAAATCAGCTATTTTGTATAACTTTTTTTGGTTAAAGTATTTTTATAAGCTTTTATTTTCACTTAGCGCAACTTTTTTAATATCATTATTTTTGTAGGATATACAATACAGTAGTTTTTTACAGTTAATAATACACTATTTTGCAAATACATATACTGTTTTTTACGCGGACTTAGCACCTTTTTTTACGTTTTTTTTAAAAGGGTAATTTTTTAGGGATATCACTCTTTTTTGTACTATATGTTAAACATCTCTAAATAAATGAGCAAAGAACCCGCCATCACCCCCGTCATATTTCATTAAAATTAGACAGTCTTCTTTGCTTACTATATAGATATTCAGATCCTTCAAACTTCTTTGCTACTCTTATTGCAAAAATAACGGATAACTACAAATCAATATGTCATTAGAAACCGTACACCTCTTTTCATTCAAAAACTAAGCATTTCAGAGAAAAACGTTTTAGACAAAAATTGTATGATTTTAAAGGGAAGATAAGATGGTGTCATTGGTTTGACCTCGGGTGGCATCGTTAAGGTCAGGTCAAGGACATCTTTAATTTCTTAAATTGAATCACCTATTTTTTATTGCATATTTTATAGCTTATGTCGAGAGCTTTCCAAAACACTATAATAAAATATTTTTTCATTGAGTACTTTTCGATTTATAAAACTTAAAATAAAATCTTAATTTTACATAAACTATAAAATATCTAGTAAAATATTTATTTCTCGATTATCTTACCTTAATACTTTTATGTACAAAATAATGAAAGGAATCAATTAGTGTAAAAAAAAACACACAGTTGTTTTTAAGAAAAAATATGTAATTGTTAATTGCAAATTACATATTTTTTCTTCGGAACAATTATATGTTTTTTTTTTAGACCAATTGATTCCTTTCATTATTTTGTACATAAAAGTATTAAGGTAAGATAATCGAGAAATAAATATTTTATTAGATATTTTATAGTTTATGTAAAATTAAGATATTATTTTAAACCTTATAAATCGAAAAGTATTCAATGAAAAAATACTTTATTATAGTGTTTTGGAAAGCTCTCGACATAAGCTAAAAGAAT